GTAGCCCTTGGGTGTCTGAGAAGCTCTGCAAAGGCTTCCTGAGGCTCAGCCCTACACAAAGGACAGAGTGGAACTCCAGGTGTCAGATTTATCTTCTAAAAGCACGTGTTTTATTATGCACTCTTAACTAAAGTTGGAAGATCTATAAACTCTCACTGTTGTGTTTTTTTTTCTCAAAGGGCCGTCTCAACAGTACATGCCTTGGTTGTGGGACTTTTCTGTCTCTACATATATATCTTGGATGAACCTATCCAGAAAGACCCAGTCTGGTGAGGATTTGAAGATGTAATCCTTTACAAATGTGGCGGCGCAAATTGTTATGCAACATAGTGTAGTTTCTCTCTAGAAAGTACAGACTGAACTTGATGTTTTTGGTGGACTCACAAAAACATATTTTTTTCTTATCTAACCTCTAATTTGTGTTTACAGGGGAGATGCCACACTGGTGAAGCTAAATGTGGCCGTTACCTCAGGCTACCTAATCTCAGGTGAGTGGAGGGCTAATGATGTGATGCTATATCTATTAATTGATGCAAAAGTTCATATACATGATTTGAATACATTTCTTGTATGATGGGCATTTTTGTCATTTCTGAATTAAAATGTATTTTAATATTTAAATTTATGTTTCAGAGTAATCATTTATTTAATTTTTTTCAGCAAACTCTAAAAAACAAATTCATTGCATTTCAATGTGAATATTATAAACATTTATCGTTTGCAGTACATGGTTTTATCATATATATATATATATATATATATGTATACAGTATATGATAAAATCTTAATGATTCAATACACCTCTTTAATGATATAAAATTAAATTAATTTTGGGGGTATAAAGTAAATACAATTGTCCTGATATCATAATAAAGGGAAAAAAACTGCTTTAAAAAGTGAAAAAGGAAATCATATTTAATGTTTTGTTGTGATTTTATTATTTCATAGAAATATTTTCAGAAAATGGTTTCACTGCTTCTTTAATTAGTAATTTTTGTTTATTGATTGCAAATATTAAGATGTGTACATTAATGTATTTAAGGTGAAATGAGAATTCAATTGATGCAAAAGTTCATATACATGATTTGAATACATTTCTTGTATGATGGGCATTTTTGTCATTTCTGAATTAAAATGTATTTTAATATTTAAATTTATGTTTCAGAGTAATCATTTATTTAAATTTTTTCAGCAAACTCTAAAAAACAAATTAATTGCATTTCAATGTGAATATTATAAACATTTATCGTTTGCAGTACATGGTTTTATCATTCATATATGATAAAATCTTAATGATTCAATACACCTCTTTAATGATATAAAATCAAATTCATTTTGGGGGTATAAAGTAAATACAATTGTCCTGATATCATAATAAAGAAAAAAAAACTGCATTAAAAAGTGAAAAAGGAAATCATATTTAATGTTTTGTTGTGATTTTATTATTTCATAGAAATATTTTCAGAAAATGGTTTCACTGCTTCTTTAATTAGTAATTTTTGTTTATTGATTGCAAATATTAAGATGTGTACATTAATGTATTTAAGGTGAAATGAGAATTAGCTTTTTTTGCTTGATGGATACACAAAGAAAATGTTTATTTTTCAGATCTCCTTCTCATGTTTACTTCATGGGAGTCTATTGGAGAGAAATATTTTGTCATACATCATTTTGCTGCTCTCTATGCATACTACTATGTGCTGGTAAGTTGTTTTCAGCTGGTCTGGTGTACAGTTACTTCCTCAAGATCTCCAAGGTTATTTTGTGCTCTTTTTTTCTTCTGCAGAGTCAAGGGATATTGCCTTACTTTGCTAATTTCCGCCTGCTTTCAGAATTCTCCACCCCCTTCGTGAACCAGCGGTAAGTATTACCTAAAAATCCATCTAGAAGCATTCAATGCAACTGTTACATGAGCTAATTTTCTAATTGCATTATTTTTTATGTCTTCCAGTTGGTTTTTTCACATGTTGGGCTACCACAAACTTTCCAAACCGAGTCTGGTTAATGGTGTCGCCATGGCATTTACATTCTTCTTGGTGAGGATCGCAGTCATTCCAGGCTACTACAGCCATATGTACTCGGTCTTTGGTACGGATGACTTCTACCGGTTACCTCTGGGGGGCCGCAGTGCCTGGGTTATTTCCAGCGTGTCTTTGGATGTTATGAACATCATGTGGATGCGCAGAATCATCCGCGGATGTCTCAAAGTCCTTCGCTCGGCCTGGTCGAGAAAAACAGGAACTGAGATGGAAACTAGAAAGACAGACTGACATGGAGATACAGACAGAAAAGGAACACATCAGCACACAAACCTTCCATCTCTTTCATGTCCAAACTGATGCTGGAGTGCAAATGCCATGTATATGTTTTGTTATTCCTGCTGCTGTAATGCTGTGGCATCATAGTTGTGAGAAACCATTTATTGCATTAATAATGACTGACATGATGTCATCTTCAAATATGGGCTCAACTGGAGGAATTCAATCACAGGCGCTCCTTTACGTTTTAAGAAATCAGGTGATTAAGAGGCATGAGAGTGATCACATGTACAATCAGGACAACAGTTGTGGTTGCACTATTTATTATAAAGCTGCTATTATGATCAACCAACTTGCCTTTATGAATGTAAATAAACGAGCAACAGCACATCTGAACTTCCACAAAGATACACAGTGTGTGCCTGTAGACCAACGGTTTGACTTTTTGACAATGTGTATAAGGTTATGCAAATAGAGGAAATGGCCATTATAAATGTAGTGGAAATGTTAAATGTATGGGTGAGAGATCCTGCCTTTGCAGCTCAGCAGTGCAGGATGTCATACTTGAGAAACCATGCATGTCTACATGTAATTATTGCATATATGGAGAACACTATGTATGGAGAGTATTATATATGTCAGGAAAGGAAAATGTATCAGGTGACACAATAATGTTATATAATATGTGTTTCTGAAAATCTATAACTTGATGCAGCCGTGTATAAGCTTGTTGCTTGTAATATGTGGTTGGTTGGATTTGGAATAATGACACTATTGGCCTATATAAGCTTCAATAAGGTAAGGCTTTTCAGGTTATTTATCATTATTTAATTAATATTTATGTATGTGGTTAAAATCAACAATGATATGCTTCTTGAAAAAGGTGTATGAGCTATTCCAACTGGAATGAATTTCTACAAATTCTGTGATGTCAAAAATGCTCATGTAAGTGACTGGAGATGCGTGTTTCTGTGGTGTGACAATAATGTTTTAATCTGAATAAACAACTTTGTTTTAATACGTTATAGTGCATGAGGTTGTAAGAGAACAAAGCCAGTTCTCTTATTTAAATTTTTACTTACTGGGACAATTCACTTCACACAAGCAATTTTACTCACTAGTGTTGTTTCGTTTGTGAACAAACAAATCTGTGTTCTTGAACAAATCTTTTAAGCGAGTCGTGTCTGTTTCTCTGACACTGTTGCCAACTTAGCAATTTTGTTGTTAAATTTGGCAACTTTTTCTTCCAAAAGCACCACATTTATTTAACTTTTGATAAGTGACTCGGACAATAAAAAGGCACACATTTTCCATCCAAATTTCACAAAAAGAGGAAACCACAGATGCTAGCAGTACACACATCAGGGGCAAGTTCAAGCTCAAACCGGTGTGCACCGTTTTGCTACGGTTTCCGGTTTGAACGACATGTTTCCTGGAAACGGTGTGCAACGGGATTTGAGATGTGTTTTCTCTTGTTTGGTGGGTGTGTCAAACATAGCCTAATCAGCAGCAACATGTATATAAACCACACGGTATTAAAGAGACAGCTGGCACAATGTAATTAACATCCAAATAAATTCACAAGAGCAAGTATATTGTTTGCACATGTTTACTTACATTAAAGGCAAATAACTGAGATAATAAGGGCACAAGTATAGATCTGGAACTTCTTTGAGTCTGTCTAAATATCATTTAGTAATTGCAATGTCTTCTGGTCCATATCCTTTCCTTAGGAAGGTGTGCTAAATACGGATTAATGTAACATAAAAATACTATACATATTTATATATTTTGCTATTGTATTATGGAGTGACACTTTCATAAACTTTTCTATACCCCTCTGATTATATAATGGTAAATATTACAATATCATAGCACAACAACAGTGATCAGCAATAATGATAAGCCTAATACTCAAAATAAAAATAATAAGGTCATATAGATCATAACACAGTCTTGGAGGTAAGAAGTGGATTATCCTCCACCTGAAATGTTTGTCCTTTTTAGTCTTTGTTTGTCTGAAATGCGAGGCAAATGTTGGATCACAATAATTAGGAACCACAGTTTCCACAAACCCCTTCACTCGATTGGGATGTTCTCTTTTATTCTGGAGGGCAAGGGCAATGACTACATCGAGCGTATTTTGCAGTAGCTATTAAACACGTATTTATACCGATTTCATCAGGCTCCGAAAATTCTTCAAAAAGAACACAAAGAATGGCCTTCTCAGCTGCCATAGTTGCAACTCTTGTGTCATCAGAACAGAGTGTTCAACGCACCACCGTTTCCGGTTAAAAAACGTTTTGCACCGTTTTGTCGGGGCTGAACGCAGCCCTGGTGAATTGAGTTAGCAACACTGTTCTCTGAATTGACTCTAATATTTTCGTTCACTCTATATCTTTCAAAACGTGTGGCTGCTTTTCTGCATAATGATTCAATCACACTTGGAAAGTCAGTCACTTTCGAGTTTGAATAAATTATAAATAATAATACATTACTAAAGTACACTGAACAAATCTTTTTTTTCTTTTCTTTTTTTTTTTTGTGCGGAGCCACTATAGTTGTCACCGGAAAATTCAAAATATTTAGTGAATAATAATTAAATTAAAGGATCGATTCACGTTGTACCTTCAACTAAATTACACTAGAAAATGCCATATTTAAATAAATTAAAATACAAATCTAAACTCTCCAATACTCTAGGGGGCAGTGTGCATGTTGCCATCCGAACGTGCCACACACACGTGATGCAATCATCCAGGAGCATTGTGGGATATGAGGCATGTTTCTAGTGAACGACATTGACAGTAGAGGTGGATGGTAAGTGTGTTCTACTGTTGTTATATAGCAGTTAATCTTTCATCAGCAATATCTTTCGCATGTAATTTTAACACAGGGCAATATGAACGATCTAAGCAGTTAAAAACCCTATTTGGACAGACAGACGAACATTATTTTATCTTATGCTTGTGTGTTCTATAAGTGTCTTGTGTAACATTTGTTGCACAATTCCCCAAAAGCATAATTTTGTAGTGAATGCTTCAGATGTCCATGGTGCAGAAAGGAATGTGGCTGTCAGATCTTCAGTGTATATTCACAGTAACATAGCAGTCAATCAGGTGTACAGTTTGCAACTTCAAGACAAAAATGAGAACAAGTGATGCCACTTAAAGTCATGCAGACTCACACAAACCTGCATTTACTAATGCTAGAACATGCTCATTTGATAGACTTAAAGCATTATAAGTCCATTATAAGATTTTATACATACTCGCATGCATGTTTATATATATATGACAGCAACAATGTAAAATGTAAGGTTACTCAAAACTGACTGTTGTTTAATCTTTTTGTCTGGAAAGCTGATGGGAGACACTATGTCCAGTCCTACAGTGAAGGCAGAGGGCATCATGGTGCCAGACTTTGGCAGCGCACCACCACAGGCCTGTCCGATGCATAGAGATGCTAATAAAAGTAAGACACTAGTACTTCAGTACAGGTTTTTTCGTTTAACATAGACAGTAGGGCTGCATCTAAAGATTGTTTTTGATAATGTTATTTATTTGATTAACCAGATTAAATAAATAAAAATAATACATTAAAAATGAACAATTAAGTTAATCAAATTAATAATAATTTGAATCAACATTAAAATTCGAATCTGTTATTTACAAAATGTTATTCTATATCCTGACCAATGTCGTCCACCAAACAATGTGCAGTTTGAAGGCAATAAAAAAAACCAAATATAGTGAATTATATATAAACACTACCTTCTAAAACACAAAAAACTGATTACTTACCATTTTTAAAGTAGAAGTTAAAGCTAGTTTAAAAAATCTTAACGTATGAGTGCGCATTGTTCATAGAAATGTTATTTGCTGCTGTAAAGTGACATGATTGGCAGATGTTTTCTGTTCCCATCATGCATACATAATTAATTGATAATCAAATTCATTTATCATCAATTTTATGCAGAGATCTTCTACCCACTTGTCCTGTAAAGTTTATTTCCAACCTTCTTTAATGCACCTGGCTATGAGTTTCTAGTAATCCTGAAGACCTTGATGAGCTGCTTCAGGTGTGTTTGATTAGGGTTGGAGCTAAATTCTGCAGGACAGTGGCCCTCCAGGAGCAGGTTTGAAGGTTCTTTTTAGCAATTACTTGTTGGAGCCCTCATATACATAAACATCAAAAATATGGGGATGTTCTCCTTAGTTTTTTTCCTTAATATTTCCAACAGGTGCCCCTCCACCAGAATGTCCAATGCATCAGGCATCTGCAAGCGATAAGCTAAAGAATGTGCCAGATGTACCAGCACATCAGGACAGGGCTTATGAATTTGTAGAGTGTCCTATGAGAGCTGCCAATGGGGCTAAACCCACAATGTCTGACATCAATCCAGCAAACATGGTAATTTGCCCCTCTTGAAATTGGTTACCTAATACCTAGAAGCCTAGATGTAGTGAGTTTCCCTTTTCTACTATTTAGCCTAATTTATTTACTGTTCTCTATAGATGCCACCACCTAACCAGCAACCTTCATCTGGTCAACCATTTCCCCTTTCTGTTGTAAGAGAGGAATCTACGATCCCTCGTGGTGGATCTGAGCAGAAGTGGGTTTATCCCTCAGAGCAGATGTTCTGGAATGCCATGCTGAGGAAGGGGTGAGTTCTAATGGTGAATATAAAAGACAGAGCAACGGAGCTCTGTATATGTCCAGTAATGATTCAGAAACATATAGTATCATCAACTTTATTGCTTCATGACTCAAACTTTCAACAGATGGCGCTGGAACAATGGTGACATCAACCAGAAAGATATGAGAAACGTCATTAGGATTCACAACCAGAATAATGAGCAAGCCTGGCAGGAAATCCTGAGATGGGAGAAGCTGCATTCGAAGTAAGTCACATGTTAATGGAATAGCTCACCCAAAAATGCAAACTTGCTAAAAATGTACTCACACTCAGGCCATCCAAGATGTAGATTAGTTTGTTTCTTCATCAGAATAGATTTGGATATATGTTGTGTTACTTCACTTGCTCACTGTTGGATCCTCTGCAGTGAATGGGTGCCGTCAGAATGAGGGTCCAAACAGTATGGTATCCACAAGTAATCCACATAACTTCAGTCCATCAGTTAACATCAAGTGAAGTGAAAGCTGCGTGTCCGGCTAAAATACGGGTCCTCTGTCCATAATATTCCTTTCTCTAGTTAAAAGGGATCTCATCTGAATCAGGAGAAAAATATGCACATATCCAGTACTGTTTGTGAATTTAATATGTTGGTAGATTTTGATGCAAGAAAACAAAAGGGAATGGACTTTTTCACTGGAGGACATGTTATTATGGATTATGGAGTGGTATATTGGCCTAAAGCGAAAGTTTCAAGTTAAAACTCCTTGATGGTTTTGTTTCTTACAAACACCCAGCTTTTCATTTCATAGTATGTTAATTGATGGACTGGAGTCATGTGGATTACTTGTGGATTATTGTGATTTTATCAGCTGTTTGAACTATCATTCTGACGGCACCCATTCACTGCAGAGGATCCATTGGTGAACAAGTGATGTAATTTCTCCAAATCGGTTCTGCTTAAGAAATAAACTCATCCACATCTTGAATGCCCTGAGGGTGAGGAGCACATTTTCAGCAAATATTGCATTTAAAAGCAACTATTGCTTTAAAAGCAACTGTGTATCCTCGCATGTCATAAAGTAGATGAGTCCTGATGTTCTGCTGTTGTCCTCCACCACAGAGAATGCCCATGTGGACCTTCTCTTTTAAGGTTTGGTGGAAAAGCAAAAGACTTTTCACCCAGAGCCAGATTTCGCCACTGGATGGGGTAAGTCATCGCATCTCTTAATAAAATATATTTTATGTTTTTGCTTAATTTTTCTCTGCATAAAACTTCTGTGATCATCTTCAGGAAAATATAAGTGCAATGGCAATTCAGTTATAAGTTGCTTTTGGTGTTATGTGTTGTAGGCATGAGCTACCATTTGACAGGCATGACTGGATTATTGACCGGTGTGGAAAAGAGGTCAGATATGTGATAGACTACTATGATGGAGGCCAGGTGCCCAAGCACACTATCCTTGATGTGCGTCCAGCCTTTGATTCCTTAGAAGCTGTTTGGGACCGTATGAAAGTGGCCTGGTGGCGCTGGACCTCCACATAAATTTTCTTTTGTGATCTTTAGGAACTGATATTTAAATAGCTTAGTCTGCGGAAGCTTTTTTGACATGATGTTCTTTATTTAAATCCAGAATGACCTTATATCATTGTATTCCTGTCGTGAATTTGGTATGTGCATATTTTCAAGACAATGATAATTGCAAAAGCTGCTATAGTGGCACTGTGTGCTGTTGTAGGCATACAGTGTCATACAATTAAAAAAGTAGTAGCAAAACATATTTTAGTAGTGTTATGAAGGCACTCTGAAGTGTGAAAATAAAATGTAAAGTCTGACTTTAGAAACTAATGTTGACGGATACATTTTGCTTTCTTGTTTTATTTTAAAATATTTACAATGTTAACCATCCAAAATAACAGAATCCAATAAATGTAAATAGGCGGATACATATTTTAGTTTTTCCATTTACTGCTGCTTTCTTGCTTATCAATTATATTTATTTTACCATGATGTCAGTTGTTTAAATAATTGTCCATAATTTTTTTTTTGAATGTACAACTAAAATTATGTTGTTAAAATACAAAATACCAGAAATAATTTACTCTACAGAACTGAAATCAAATACAGTCAAACAAGACTGTACATTTATGCCTGATGTTGGTGTGTAAATTCATTAAATTCATTTTATTTCAATGCTGTAATCCACGAGTATTGATTCTCTCTCTCTCTCTCACACACACGCACACAGGTGCATCTCAATAAATTAGAATGCCATGGAAAAGTTCATTTATTTCAGTAATTCAACTCAAATTGTGAAACTTGTGTATTAAATAAATTCAATGCACACAGACTGAAGTAGTTTAAAGACTTTGGTTCTTTTAATTGTGATGATTTTGGCTCACATTTAACAAAAACCCACCAATTCACTATCTCAACAAATTAGAATACTTCATAAGACCAATAAAAAAAAAAATTTTTAGTAAATTGTTGGCCTTCTGGAAAGTATGTTAATTACTGTACATGTACTCAATACTTGGTAGGGGCTCCTTTTGCTTTAATTACTGCCTCAATTCGGCGTGGCATGGAGGTGATCAGTTTGTGGCACTGCTGAGGTGGTATGGAAGCCCAGGTTTCTTTGACAGTGGCCTTCAGCTCATCTGCATTTTTTGGTCTCTTGTTTCTCATTTTCCTCTTGACAATACAATTCAGGTCTGGTGAGTTTGCTGACCAGTCAAGCACACCAACACCATGGTCATTTAACCAACTTTTGGTGCCTTTGGCAGTGTGGGCAGGTAGCAAATCCTGCTGGAAAATGAAATCAGCATATTCAAAAAGCTGGTCAGCAGAAGGAAGCATGAAGTGCTCCAAAATGTCTTGGTAAACGGGTGCAGTGACGTTGGTTTTCAAAAAACACAATGATGACATTGCACCCCAAATCATCACAGACTGTGGAAACTTAACACTGGACTTCAAGCAACTTGGGCTATGAGCTTCTCCACCCTTCCTCCAGACTCTAGGACCTTGGTTTCCAAATGAAATACAAAACTTGCTCTCATCTGAAAAGAGGACTTTGGACCACTGGGCAACAGTCCAGTTCTTCTTCTCCTTAGCCCAGGTAAGACGCCTCTGACGTTGTCTGTGGTTCAGGAGTGGCTTAACAAGAGGAATACGACAACTGTAGCCAAATTCCTTGACACGTCTGTGTGTGGTGGCTCTTGATGCCTTGACCCCAGCCTCAGTCCATTCCTTGTGAAGTTCACTCAAATTCTTGAATCAATTTTGCTTGACAATCCTCATAAGGCTGCGGTTCGTTCGGTTGGTTGTGCATCTTTTTCCTTCCACTCAACTTTCTGTTAACATGCTTGGATACAGCACTCTGTGAACAGCCAACTTCTTTGGCAATGAATGTTTGTGGCTTACCCTCCTTGTGAAGGGTGTCAATGATTGTCTTCTGGACAACTGTCAGATCAGCAGTCTTCCCCATGATTGTGTAGCCTAGTGAACTAAACTGAGAGACCATTTTGAAGGCTCAGGAAACCTTTGCAGGTGTTTTGAGTTGATTAGCTGATTGGCATGTCACCATATTCTAATTTGTTGAGATAGTGAATTGGTGGGTTTTTGTTAAATGTGAGCCAAAATCATCACAATTAAAAGAACCAAAGACATAAACTACTTCAGTCTGTGTGCATTGAATTTATTTAATACACGAGTTTCACAATTTGAGTTGAATTACTGAAATAAATGAACTTTTCCACGACATTCTAATTTATTGAGATGCACCTGTAACTGTTGAAAAGTGCTTTATGCACAACACGTTGTCGGGTGGAACTGGATTTCTATAGTAGTGTTTCTACACGGAATATGAAAAAAGTAGTTCAATAACAAACCGGACAGATGTAAACGTTACAATGTGAACATTTTAAATCATAATGTGGAGTTTCCTACATGGACTGCAAAAATGTCGAAGGACGCGTATGATGAAATGTCCGTTTTATCTGCCATATACTGTGAACCGGACGAATTCGAGCTGTTAGAAGAGTCACGTGAGTCTTTGGAATTTATAACTCTTACAATATTCTTACTATAGTTACAGTTCATGTGTGTTTATATTGTCTTTACAACAAAGTTGTGGTAACTTGGTATTATATGCCACTGTTATATAAAATACTGAAAGATTCAGAAAGTCTCTTACACAGTTTGAAGTAGATCCATTTGATATTACTTTAAAATTGGTTTACATTAATAATAATAACTGTACGTTAGTGACTACGGTCTTTTGATGAAAACTTACTGTGGTACGTTTTTGTAACGTTGTAATTTAAATTTGTAATTGACCAAGTTATGCATAATGAATATTGAATCAGTTGTATTAAATGGAGATAGAACTATGTCATATTTCCAGATAAACAGATTGTAATCCACAATATAAATGTGAAGAGATTCACACAAAATAAACAATTCACCAATAAACAGAACGAGGTCCACAAATGAGGTTCACAAACAATCTGTAGATCATAATCTATTTATATGGACAAATAAAAAATTCTAACCCCATAATTGTATTCCCCGTTCTGTTTAAATCTCATGCCATGTTATGTCATGTTATGTTTAAGTGCAGCTGAGAGGGGCATCGTCTACCGCATACACACACTGATTGAAAGAAACAATGAGAAGACACCACTAGCCCTTACATTCCACATCTGTCCTGACTACCCTCACACCCCTCCAGATGTCAGCATCGCTTCCAGCCACTTATCAAGAAAACAGTGTCAAGACCTGAGGCTGCATTTACTGGAAACAGCACGATCACTTCCACCAGAACCCATGCTCCACGACTTAATCCTGTGGCTTCAGGAAAACTTCTCAGACTTGACCAAAACATCAAGCTGCGATTCAGCGGAGATCAGACCAGAAACTACAGAAGAAACCTGGACTGCTGTACTACATTTAGATCACATGAGGTCCAAAGCAAAATACATCAAACTGATCGAAAAATGGGCTTCAGAGCTGTGTCTCACTGGGAGACTCTTTACGGGGAAGCCAATATTGATTCTTTTGCAAGGAAGAAAGGAAAATATTAAAGTATGAGTACAAAATCATACAGAACATATTCCTAAACAATAAGATTTTCATTTTCCCAGACATGTTGATTCAGTAACTAATATAAATACCAAAGCCATAACTGGATTTTCAGGGCATTTTTATAGCACATAATTGCTAAACCTTTTAAAAAAAAATTATTATTAATTTCTCATGTGATTCCTGGCTGTTTATAGAGTATTTGATTTGGTTTTTCATTTGTTTTTTCATTCTAATGATGACATAATATACATGCTAATTTGACTCTGTAGGAATACATCCACCTTCAGAAGACGGTTAAAGTTGATGTTGATTCTTCAGGGAAACGCTGTAAGGAAAAGATGATGAGTGTCCTGTGCGAGATTCCACAGCCAGAGAAGATATTGTAAGCATATGCTCTGCATACTTTTTAAACGCATCTTTTTACATTTTGTATGATATTTTGCGTATTATATTTACTCCACTGTTCATTGTATCACAGCTGACTTTTTTTCCCCACCACCCATTTTTTTTTTTTTTAGGATGTCTACATTTGAAGTAAAAGACATTTTATCACTTGACGACCTCAAAAGGGAGTTTGATCTTATTGGACTGACTGAGCTTTATAAGCAGTTTGTGTCCTCACTCATCTGACAAGAAGCTGCTGGTGGAGCAGGACTCAATTACTGTCTACAGCTCTTTAATGGAATCCCATCATAAAACGCATCATGCTGTTTTCTTAAGGAGCGTACAATGTAAAATATGCTGTCTTATTATATTCGCAGCTGAACTGTTACATATGACGACATGTATCCTTACAGAGTTAGACTAGTGGAAATGTTCACATCAACAACATCAAAATAAAATGTATGGTCAAATTATTTTTGGTTATCATCGCTGATGTGTACGACAAAATCTCAACAACCCATTTTAACCCTCTCAGTTGTAAATGCATGGTGTAAAGAGTTTATTTATTATTATTATTATTATTATTAAATTGCCTGTTTTCTATAAATATATTTAAGGAATAGTTCATCCAAAAATGAAAATTGGCTGAAAATGTACTCGCCGTCAGGCCATCCAAGATGTAGAGGAGTCTGTTTCTTCATCGGAACAGATGTAGAGAAACTGGTGAATGGGTGAATCAGAATAAGGTGAATCAGCCATCAGAATAAGATTTAAAGAGCTGTTAAAGACATCACAATAATCCATACAACTCCAGTCAATCAGTTAACATCTTGTGAAGTGGAAAGCTGTGTGTTTATAAGAAACAAATTCATCATTAAGACGCTTTTATTTTTAAACAGTTGCTTCTGGCTAAAATACAAGTCCATTTTTACTGGAGGAAGCATTATTATGGATTACGGACTGCTATTTTGCACAGAAGCAGCAGTTTAAAGTTAAAAACATCTTAATAATGGATTTGTGCTCTGTTTAAACTCTCATTCTGACGGCACCCATTCACTGCAGAGGATCCGAGCAAGTGATATAATGCTACATTTCTTCAAATCTGTTCAGATGAAGAAACCAACTCTTCTACATCTTGGATGACAGGTATTTTGAACAACTTTTCATTTTGGGGTAAATTATTCCTTTAGGGTGGCATATCAGTGCTAATTTTATTTTGCATTATTCAAGTGTAATACAACTTTTTTTCTATTACCATTAGCCAAAATGGAGTGAAAAGATGAAATATGCATGAATTTAATGACAGCAGCATTCAAGCTGCATGAACTACACGTTTGTGTTAAACCTGTTGATCATATTTTTCAGCATGACTTGAGAAGATCCAAAGATTGGAAGTACATAATTTGGCCATCTGTACAAAGAGTCACATTATCACACAGCGTCTCAAATTTAACTTAAATATGTTTTAAATGTTTCAAATCTTTGGACCCCAAAGTAAGAGTGGTAGCAGATATGATGTCCCCAGTCATGTA